GTTTTCAGTTTGGTAAATTTTTATTAATTTGAAAATAATGTGAAGGACTTGTTTCAGCTTAAAAAATTTTTTTTAATATTTGTTTATTTTGAGAGAGAGAGAGAGACAGAGCATGAGAAGGGGAAAGCCAGAGAAAGGGGGAGACACAGAATCCAAAGCAGGCTCCAGGCTCTGAGCTGTTAGCACAGAGCCTGATGCAGGGCTCAAGCTCATGAACCGTGATATCATGACCTGAGCTGAAGTCGGATGCTTAACCAACTGAGCCACCCAGGCGCCCCTTCTTTCAGCTTTTTTGAGAAGTCCTAAAAATATAAGAAAAAACCCTCTTATTAGAGGAAATAACATAAAATTAGCAGATAAAGCTCAACAGTCTGTAAAAAAAAAAGAAAAAGAAAATAGAAACTAGGAACTGCTACCAAACTTAAAATTACTACTATTTGTATAGTATAAAATACTTTACACTATTGTATAGTATAAAATACTTTACACCATTGTATAGTGTAAAATACTTTACACTATTATATAGTGTAAGCATGGTAAATTGGAAGACATCAGGATAGACCAATGGAATATAATACTAAATGTTATTAGGCATCTCTGCCTCTGTTTCCTTATCTGTAAAGAGAGAGGAGGGGAGAGGAATTAATATCTTCAAGATCCCTTCTGCCTCTAAGTAAGTAAAGTTTGTACCTAGCGTCCATTCTAAGGAAAAATCTATGTAAAAAATATCTGAGTGATAATCTGCTTTATCCTAGGGATATAAGGAATATAACAACACACTTTATACATAAAGGACAGCTTAGTAAATAGTGGTTAAGAGCTTAGACTTCGGAATTAGACTCTCAGTGTTTAAATCTCAGCTCCATACCTTAATACCTGTTTAATCTTGGACCTCTTTTGGCCTCAGTTTCATTTAAATTAGAATATCTACCTCATAGGGTTGTTCTGATTAAATGAGCTAATATTTATAAAGCTCTTAGGATAGTGCCTGGTACACAGTAAGTTTTATGTTAAGTAAAATTATTTAATCTACTAATGCTTCAGTAAAGAACAAATTGACATTTATTTGTTCTAACATCACTTTTAGCTTTTAAAAAAATCCAGTCAGTTTATTTGTCAGTAATAAAGGACTGGATTGGGTAGGAATTAAGGGTAGAGAGGAATAGTCAAGTGGAGGACAAAATAACAAATATGTGTCTATCACAAGTGAGAGAGAGGTTGGTTAGATTGTTATAGAGGGAAAGAGGAAGATGACTCTTTTAAAAATAGAAACTAGGGCTCTTACAGAACTCTTATAGAATTGCTAAATTTGCCAATGTGGAGAAAACAGTTTAAGTTTCCCATTACAATGCCTTTTGCATTTTGAAAATTACTGTACTTAATTGCTCCCACTCCAGTCTCCCAAGTGCTGACGCAGGTCAAGAAGAGCTCTTGCCATCCCAGACTAGATTTGCTCCCAACCCTGGAGACTTGAAAATTTTTTTTACTTTGGAAATTTTAAAAATTCCTGTTTTTTAGAAAACAACTCTCCACAGAATTCCATATTAGACACTGGAGAAATTCTCTGGGGCCTTGTAGCAAGCAGGGCTAGATTATCTAAGACACAATTAGATAAAAAAATTCTTTGACAGATTGGAATTCGAATAAATTAATGAATTGGAAACTGCCTGGAAGACTGAATTTACTAAGTTTCTGTTGTTTCTACTCTGGTTTCCAAAGAGATAATCAGGAATATCTTGTCTTGTTTCTAATCTTGGGGAATCTTTTACTCTTACACCATTGAGTATGTTATCCGTAGGTAGTTCATAAATGCCTTTTATCATGTTGAAGAAATTCTCTTCTTTTCTAGTTTTTTTAAATCCTTTTATTATGAAGGATGATTATGTATATTATTTTCTTAATTCTGTTAATACAATTTATTACACTGATTTTTCTTTGTAGAACCACCCTTGAATTTCTGTGATAAATCCCACTCGGTCATGGTATGTAATATTATCCCCTCCCCACCCCCTCCCCCCCAGTGTATAATATTTTTGAAAATTTTTATTTATGGGGGCACCTGGGTGGCTTTGTTGGTTAAGCATCAGACTCTTGGTTTTGGCTCAGGTTATGATCTCACAATTTCACAAATTGGAGCCTGGCGTCAGGCTCTACTCTGGTAGCATGGAGCCTGCTTGCTTTCTTGATAAAGTTTATTCAAAGTTTATATATTTATTTTGAGAGGGGGAGGTTTTTATATTTCTATACAATTTACTTTGTTTTAGAAACTGTATATTAATATTATTCTTATTTAAAATTTTTTTAAATGTTTTGTTATTTTTGAGAGACAGACAGAGCCCAAGTGGGGGAGGGGCAGAAAGAGAGGAGGCACAGAATCCGAAGCAGGCTCTAGGCTCTGAGCTGTCAGCATTGAACCCGATGCAGGGCTCAAACTCACGAACTGTGAGATCATGACATGAGCTGAAATCAAGAGGAAGAACTTGAGAAAGATTGATATTAAATATTTGGTAAAATTCACCAGTGAAACTATCTGGACTTCAGAGACCCAGGCTGATGGAAGTTTGCCTATCTTGTGACCCATCTCGGCGTGTGGCGTCCAGGGTTGCATTTATAGGGAAGAGAGAGATCATAGAATGATTGAAAGTGGCATAAGCCACTTTTATCCCAGCTCATTGGCCAAACTAATCACATGGTCCCTATCTAACTGCAAGGGAACCTGAAAATATAGAGGAGCATAAGGAATATTTGATGAACATTAGTATTTCAACACCTGTTCTCCTTTTATTTCTCCAAAGTAATTAACACATTTTAGAATATTATTTATATAATTTAATATAATTTATATATATTTTATATATAATTTGCATATTTTGTTTATTATTTAGTGCCTTCCCCCAGCAAAAGAGTAAACTTATTCCCCTAGAAAACCACACTACTTACTGTTTCTTGCCTACAAGCCTTTGCTCACAGTGTTCCTACTGTCTGTAATACCTTTTATCTTTTTTGCTCTGCACTCACTCCTTTTTTCTAAAGGTTAAATCCTACTTATCTCTCAGGACAATTTGGATCTTAGCTTTATCTGGACGATTTTGTTAACATCTTTAAGTAAAGTGCCCATCCCTTAGACTCCATCTGAATTTTTAGATTACTGTCTGAGCACTTACCTCATATAGTCACGTCTGTCTGCCCCATCAACCAAGTTCCTCATGTACGAGGAAGAATGGCTGGAGATGTAGGTAGAGCCTAGAAAAGAAACTAGGAGGATCTAAATAAGGACAGTTTAAGGAGAGTGGAGAAGAGATGATAGAATCAAGAAATACTGGGGCACCTGGGAGGCTCAGTTGGTTAAGCGTCCGACTTCGACTCAGGTCATGATCTCATGGTTTGTGGGTTCGAGCCCCGCATCAGGCTTTGTGCTGAATGTTTGCTCAGAGCCTGGAGCCTGCTTCAGATTCTGTGTCTCCTTCTCTCTCTGCCCCTTCTCCCCTCACACTATGTCTTACTCTGTCTCTCAAAAATACATAAATGTAAAAAAAAAAAAAAAAAAGAATCAAGAAATACTTAGAAGGTAAAATCAGCAAGACTTGATTATTGGTTTAATATAAGAGATAAAGAAGGAATCAAGAATAATTCATGTTTATTTGGTTATTATGTGGATTGTGAGATTTCCGAGTGAAATAGAGAATATGAGAGGGGGAATAAGTTTGGGTGGTAGGATGATGACATTGGTTTGAAGTATAGTGAGTTTAAATTACTCCGTAGAGACCTCAGTGTGAAGATGCATGCAGGAGATGGCTATATGGTTCTTAACCCAGGGAAATGGATAGGTTTCAGCTTACAAAGTAGTAGCTAACAAATAAGAAAAGCAGAGACTACCAGTAAGTACTAAGGGCAAAATCTTTATTTATTTATGCCAGTGTTTAAGGAACAAGAACAGGAAGATAGGCTCTTGTGTGGGAAACACAGAAAAAGAAAAGAGATGGTAAAAGAGGAACCAGGAGACTGTGATACTGTAGATATCAAGGGTATTTAGAATTTCAAGAAAGTGGTGGCTATGTGAAATGCAGAAGTCAAATCAAAACAAATACATATGAAATCTGTACCACTCTTCTTGCAACCTTACTTAATTCCCTTCTTCCAACCCCACTTCTCATTGAACCATGTTGATTTCTTATTGAATTGATCCACATTGACTTCAATTTTATGGAGAAATTTGAAATTATAGAGCATAAACTGCCTCAGATGTGCCCCCCTTCTTTTTCTTTCACAGTCTTGCCACCATGGCCATCCATCATTTGCTCCATCCCTCTAATGTAAGGAGATTCAAAGCCAACTCTTAACACTAGTGCCCTTGATACCAAGAGTTGTCTATATTTTTTCCCTTTTTAAGATTTTCTGATGCCAGTTTCACCCCATAAATCTTCTAAAAAGGTTACCATTTGAAATTTTAGTGGAAGGGAGAAGTGGAAAACAAATGACAAGTTGTTGAATATTGAAAAGAAGATGGGGAAATATCAGCAGAAACTACAAATAGCAGTCACTGATGGAACTGGGAGATACTGCTCAGTCTTCCTCCCCAGGGAGGCGAGGACACTTACAGGGAGCAGATTCAAGCACTACTCCAGAGAGATTTCCAGTTTGGAGCCATATGAAAAATATGTCTCCTATCTGTTTTTCTTCTGAAGCATGCGGGTGATTAAGTCTTTACTGTAGAAATGAAAATGAGCCAGTTCTCAAAATTGAAGAATGTAGAAACATCAGATTTCATTCATTTGTGCAAATGCACAAATGCAAAAGTTAAAAAAAAATAATGCAGAAGTATTTCTTAAATGTCAGCTATGTGCCATGCTTAGCCTTAGGTGCTAGGAATACAATGGGGAGTAAAAACACTTAGTTCTTATTTTTGTGGCGTTCTGTGGTATAGTGATATTGTTTTTTTTATTTCCTTGTTTATATTTAACCTAATTTATATAACCCATTTTACTTTTTTTCCCCTTTAGTATCCTCTTCTATATGGACTGATTCTTATTCCCTGCTGGTGTTCTCTAGTTTGCCTAAGCAGAATTTACATGGGAATGCACTCCATTCTGGTAAGGAAAATTTGTGTTCATAGTGCTTTATTTTTTTCTGAAAATGAAAAACTATAAAATGCTATTTTATAGTTTTTAATCATTTCAAACTTAACAGGAAACCTGAGAAAATATTATTATGAATCTTCTTTGTTTTGCCAAAAAATATTAAATATATATACACACATATACATATTAACATTGTTTTGTGAACATTTAACATAGTAATCGTGTATTTTTTAGAAACCATTCCCGGCAATCACAAATCATCAAGTATTATGTTCAGGATAAGGAATAAGGTTTCTCCCGCCTTCCAGTCTCAATTTGATTTCCCTCCTCATGCTCTTTTGTGCCTCTCCACCAGAGTCAAAGCAGCAGTGTGAATATAGAAATCAAGGCGAGCTCTACTCAGTAGTAAGCACCCACTGACTAGAAACAGCATGAACTTAAACCATCCAGGTGCCACTTGTATTTACATATTAAACTCTAGTTTTCTTCTTTTCCCCAGCAGTCTTTTAGGGCTTACAACAGTAGCTTTATTTTGAGAACGCTGTTCAGTGTACAGAGCAGCAGCACAGGGACCCTGTACTCTAGCCACAGCTACTCCCCTCCCTTTCTCCCCTTCCCTTGACATTGTGGCTGGCACCGTCCCATCACCAGATGACTGTAGTAGCTTCTGAAGCAGTAGCCTTACTTACTTCCAGTCTGACCCCATTCCATAAGGTGTTTAGGCTTCTGTTGTCGCTTACTTCCAAACCACAAATACAATGCCATACTGAATGACTTCTGCTTCCTCAGACGCAAATGGAAGGTTGTAACTTCTGCTTGGAATACCCTTTTCCCTTTCTTTGTCTAGCTAATTATCCATTCTTCGGGACTCACAAAAAACCTTCTTATCTCCTAAAAGCCTTGTTACATTCCCCATCTTGCCTTTCTCTAGACTGGCTAGATGACCTTTCTCCCAGAGCATCTGAGCATAATTCTGACACATTGCAACTACTTTTTTCCTTATATGTCACCCCCATTAGACAATAAGCAACATAAGAAAAGTAACTATGTTTCCTCTCTATCCCTTGCATCAAGTGTAGTGTTACTTACTGCACTCTACATAAGCATCTAAAAAAGAGGAGAAATATGAACTAATTCATGGGATCAAAACATTTATAACTGGCTATATCAAATTTTTCTTGTCCTTTGCAACAATTTAACACTTTTAGAATTTTCTCTCATGAAAGTATCTAATTAGCTTATTTCACAGCTGTAGAAATACTAGGTTTCTATTTCTTACTTGGATTGCTTGCCTCCAGTAGCTGCCCTTTCACTAGTAAATTTCCAGAAGTCTCAAAATACTGTTTTAATAAGCAAATTATTTGTGTTCAACTTTTTATAATTGTATTAATACAAATTGTGAATTTATATATACCTTTCTTTCTGATTAATCTTTACTAACTTTTTAAGACTCAGTATCATTTTTTAAAAGTTTTTTTTAGCATTTATTTATTTTTTGAGAGAGAAAGAAAAAAAGAGTGTCAACAGGGGAGGGCCAGAGAGTGAGGGAGATACAGAATCCAAAGCAGGCTCCAGGCTCTGAGCTGTCAGCACAGAGCCAATGTGGGGCTCGAACCCACAAACCATGAGATCATGACCTGAGCTGAAGTCAGACACTTAACTGACTGAGCCACCCAGGTGCCCCCTGTATCATTTTTATATCATATCTGGTATTTGTCACAGGAAAATGTTATCCATTTCTGTTCCTTGTTAATTATTCTCTTTCAACTCCAGAAGTTAGTTATATTGCTCCTAAAAATCTACCAAATGGTTGTGCATCTTTGACAGATAAAAAGTGGGTCCCTGCTATTTCTTGAAAGTAAAGCTATTAGATAATATTACCTTTAGGCTTATTATCATAATAAAAAGAATAAGAATCTGAAAATATTTAATATGTAATCTAAAAGATGTGTTCTTGGGGCCCCTGGGTGACTCAGTCAGTTAACCGTCTGATTCTTGGTTTCAGCTCAGGTCATAATCTCATGGTTCTGGAGTCCGAGCCCTACATTGGGTTTCATCCTGACAGGGCAGAGCCTGCTTAGAATTCTCTTTGCCCCTCCGCTGCTTGCTCTGTCTCTCTCAAAATGAATAAATAAACTTAAAAAAATAAAAATTAAAAAAATTAAAAATAATAAAATATGTGTTCTTTAAAAAAAATGTTGAGTAGCTTGATCAAACATTCAAGTTGAGTTCAGTTCAGTTTTTATATATTGGATTTCTGTTTTAGCATCAGCTGACATAAAAATATTGATGTATTATTTTTCAAATCATAAGTCTAGTAATCCTAGTCCTTTATTCAAAACCCTTCTTGTTCCATAGAATGTTTCATCAATTTCATTCAGACCAGACTTATTATGTGTAATATTACAAATTTTTTTCCTTTTATTTTTTATTTATTTTTTGTTTTCCTTTTAAAAGTAAAATCATGAGTGATTTGCAAACATTGTAAACTATGATCCTGTGTTATAACCACAATTATTCCTAATCAGTAATATATTGCTTATTATTTGATAGTTGATGTATGAGAATATACCTATAATGAACCTCCCCTTTCTTACATTATGGATCTAATATATTCCCGCAATTTTAACTTTTTCCTGTATTTTAATATTTCAGTAATTACCTGCAATTTGAATTATGTTCTATTTCTTTATTTAGAGAGAGAAAGTGGGGTGGGAAGACAGAAAGAGAGGGAGAGAATCACAAGCAGGCTCCATGCTGTCAGCACAGAGCCCTTCGTAGGGCTCGATCTCATGAACCTTGAGATCATGACCTGAGCTGAAATCAGGAGACTGATGCTTGCTTCCTAAGCCACCCAGGTGCCCCTTTAACTATTTTCGTAATCATAATTTGCATCCTTACTATTTATTGTGAAATTAGTATGGAACTATAGGCAGTGTGCCCTACAAGCTGCTAATAGGTGCTTAGATACCTATTATTATTAAGTGAATGTCTTCATTAACACAAGAAGAGAGGTCTTATAACGTATTCTAAATAATTTATAATGAACACTTCTTTCAGTATTTGCCAGAAGTTTGTGTGTTTTTGTTACAACACAAAGAGCAACAGCTTAGTTTATTTTCAACATCCGCCTACTTTCCTAAATTGATTTTCTTAATTCCAAGCAAAGTATAGAGGAGTTACTACATCTGTTTTTTCTTTATTTATTATAAATCTAGCTCTCAAAACTTAAATCCATGGGGGACCTCTGTAGCTCAGTCAGTTAAGCACCCCACTCTTGGTTTCAGCTCAGGTCATGATCTCATGGTTCATGGAATTGAGCCCCTCATCAGGCTCTATGCTGACAGTATGGAGCCTGCTTGGGATTTTCTTTCTCTTCCTCTCTCTGTCCCTCCCTGGCTCATGTTGTGGACACAGTCTCTCTCTCTCTCTAAATAAATAAACGTAAAAAAATTAAATTAATAAAAACAGACCATTATTAAGTTACTAGACTAGGTACTTGTCAAACTACTGTTTTGTTTCTATATTAGTAAAATTATGAATATGTTGTAAATCCACTTACCGAAAATTGTCCTGAAAAATTTATATGTGTATGGGTGGAAAGACTATAATATGAGATTATAAAGTATTACGGACCCCCCAAACCCATTTTTATAAGAAGAAAAAATATCTAACCAATCATATACACATACACAAAAACCCAAAAACCTGTTACAGAGAAAGATCTAAAGCAGTAAACATTAGAGTTTTAATAGTAACTGTTCCTGGATAATAACTGCTTGTTGGGGCACCTAGGTGACTTGGTCAGTCAAGTATCCAACTTCGTCTCAGGTCGTGATCTTACATTCGTGAATTTGAGCCCCACATCCTACTCTTTGCTGACAGATCAGAGCCTGGAGCCTGCTTTGGATTCTGTCTCCCTCTCTCTCTACCCCTCCCCTGTCTCTCTTTGTCTCTCAAAAATGAATAAAATTTTAAAACAAAAAAACTACTTGTTATTATTTATTTGTATTTTCTAGTTTTACTATAATGATCACATATTAAATCTGAACTTTAAAGATAAATGTTTCAAAATCTATCCTTGATAGTATACTTATAATAGTGTACTAGCATATTGAAAAAAAAGCAAGACACCTAAAATATGTTATAATTGAGGTGCCTGGGTGGCTCAGTTGGTTGAGCATCCAACTCTTGATTTTGGCTCAGGTCACAATCCCAGGGTTGTGGGATCGAGCCCCCACGTGAGATTCTCTCTCTCTGCCTCTGCTCCTCTCCCCCATTTGTGCGTGTACTCTTTCTCTCTCAAATATAAAATTAAATAATAAAATAAAATAAAATTGAAAAAACCCCAGTAATTTACTAGGATATGACAGGAGCCTGGAATTCTAATCTCAGCAAATCACCAGCCTCTCTGGGTTTACTTCCTGATCAGAAGAAATGAAAAGGATAAAATTTTAGACTTAATATGTAATAAATCTTTGGTGAATTTATGGTATTTAATACCTTCTTCCATAAATTTGATAACCTTGAATATTCCATTCAAATGTGTAATTATCTATTAACTTTGAGGGCATATAAGTCATCTGTGATTAGTATCTAAAATTATTTGCTAAGTTTTATTTTTTAATTTGCTACTTTAAACTCTTTTTGCTACCTCTAATATTAACTTTTCTTTATTACATACTTTGTGCTGTAATGCTTAAAACCACTTAGTATACATTTTAATGTTATACATTAAATTGATAGCATAGTGATAGCTACCATGTTTATGCCCTTAATTAATTCCTTCCTTCCTTCTGGTTTGTTGCATGGAAGTTCAGTTTGCCCTTACTATTTTTTTTTTTTTTTTAGTTTATTTATTTATTTTGAAAGAGACCAAGCAGGGGAGGGGCAGAGAGAGAGAATCCCAAGCAGGCTATACACTGACAGAGCCCAATGTGGGACTCAAACTCATGAACCATAAAATCATGACCTGTGCCCAAACCAAGAGTCAGATGCTTAGCCAACTGAAC